CCCAGTTTGGAGTTCTAGGTCTCTGAAATACACCAGCAAACCTGCCGAGTGATTTCCACTCGAGGCATTCCTCCGCAAAAAGCCGTATAGGCTCGCGTTCTAACCTATCGCTTGCAGTTTGGGTACTTATTGTATCTATACGGCTATAGCCTCATTTGCCGCAAACTTTACGTCGCTGTATGGCCTGGTGAATGAAATCTCTTTCTCCTCTACATAAGTCGGTACTTTGCTCTAGATCAGCAACTCCAAATTGTCGTCTTCTTTTCCTTTTTTAACGCTGTTTTTTAGTAAACTATCGCTTTCGCCATCGGCAATCTCCTGATCTTCTACTTGCCCCTCGACATTTCAGATTCTCGACTCGGGCGAGATTTTGCCGAGCAATGACGTCATCATATTGGATCTGTCGACCGATTTATCTGCGTAATAAGTTTGTTTACAAAAACTATTTACAGTGCAGAGGCGCTCTCTCGGGGAATATTGTAATCAATTTTTACAAAATGTCATATCTTTAATTAGCTGCAAGAGAGATTACGTAGTCTGAAATATCATGGACGATTTACTTGCGGGATCGAAGACGTTATTGGGTAAGTTATAGCCTAGGCTACTTCAGACTTCAGTACTTGGTTGTGTACGACGTACAGTACGTAACTTGCCCACGTTAGGCCTAACGTTAGGCCTACCGTTATTTGCGCTTCTCCGAGCCCTTCACACTCACTCTATGTTCCTGGCCTAAATTGGGAACTGCATGTTTACTGTATGAATGCAATGCCAGCTGCGTAAGTTAATAGTGAACTGCTCGTTAAGCAGTTTTGTCAATAAAACAGAGGAAGGAACTAAGAGCTCAAGAGTCTGATTTTAGCAATAAACGCATAAAACGTTAACAGTGCAGTTCTGCTGAATCAGAATCATGTATATGCCATTTACACACTGATCACGAATTGCCCATCAATACCTAATAGGCCCCCGATAAATTACGAATAATTAATAGTACAGAAGTCAGACGCGATATAATTAATACTAGTAGTTTAAAACGTCAGTCAGAAGCCTCGACATTTGCGCGGTGTTCACACGCGTACACTTTGTTTTAAGGAGTCTCTTTCCAACGGACTGTGAAAATGTGTGCATCGTCAAATGGGCCAATGAAGCCTCACTAGCGCGCCTGTTGACCTTACTCGGCCGTGTCATCGCTCGCATACGCATACTTCCTTGCACACATAACACCGGCGCATCGACTCGCCATCCATGAAGATTGGCATTCCCTCTTGCTTGATAATCCTGTTTGCTTGGCACTCGTTCGTTCATCTCGAGCATGATCATTGCTTCCGACACGCTGCCATCTTCTAAGGCATCCCTTTAAGTTTAGCTTAGAAACTTGTTTCTGTCATTATTCGTATTGGAATTTCTCCGTTTGTCTTTAGTAAATTGCAGAGGTTGATCTGTCTATTTGATCAGCTTTGTCTCAAGATTTCCATTTTCAAAATAGTTCCTTGGACTTTGAAGACTATATTACGAGGACTTACGCAGCGTTACGAGCTATACCATCGATAGGCAGTGTTAAAAGCTTAAAATAAAAAAACCACTCGCCAAACTGGCGAGTGAGTCAATAAGTTAAATCGTCAAACGAAATCTGTACTCGCCCAAATTTTAAAACAAAAATGCTTGGCAACAATAGTGAAAAACACAAAAACACCAGTGGAGTTTAACTACACATTAATTCATTTGATCACTTTTCTCAAAAATTCAAGGCACATCTCCTTTTGAAAGTTTCTGTTATTCATTTTTATTTAATTTACTTTTATTCTCGGGCTGCTTTGCCACCCATCTAATGAATAACCCCACGTTACGCGATTTTATTACTTGTTAACACACAGCTAAGGTGAGCTTTAAACAATCCTGCCACCTCCCCCTCCCCGCTACATCAATTCAATATGCCGCCCAGCACGTATTACACAGCCACGCTGCTGGCTGGCGCGCCACGCTCTCCGCGGCATGCTTCTCTTCGGCGACCTTGATAATTAAATTGAGGATGTCGTGGATGCCCGCCCTTCACAATCCTACACCTGTATTTCATGCAATGTTTGGATATAGAAACGTAAGGAACCGACATTTGATTCAAAGTTCTAACAATTATTTTACTTAGCCAACATAGGCGAGTCAGCTTTAGCCTTTCACTTCGCCCGATATTATTTTCACTCGACATTGGCGAGCGGGCGAGTGCCAAGCTCGCACGCTGTTAAGCGGGGATCAGGGCCGCAGCCCGGGCAAATTCGGTGGGAAAGGGAAAAATTTTGTGACTCCCTAAGTGATGATGAGGGTGGGAGAACCCCCTATTCAGAGGTTATGAAGAAATAAAAACTCTGTAAACATGCTTTTACACAGATAATTATGTTCAATATGGCTTCCTTTATATAGGATCAGATCTGTTATCCGAACAAAATACTCCCCGCCCATCTCGTTCGGATAATCGAGGTCTAACTGTATATATGGATTATGACCTACTCTTGGGAAAACCTGGGCAAGTTGTGTTCTTCTATAGGTGTACGAATACGGGAAACGTGCAGCGGCACGTACCAATAACTATGCAGTCTCGTCGGAATGCCATCAAGTTCTTTATCCCTCTGTGGGAGGGTGGCCAGCTGTAAACGTGGAATGCTTAAACGCATGAGAAATATGCTGCTGCCGTGCACGTACGTGTAATTGCGTCGCATATTTCTGGTTTTTTGCCTGACATGATGTGATTGTGTGTAGAAATATACAGCTCCCACTCGGCTTGCCTAGTGATAACGCTAAAGAATCTTTTATCATAGATTTATTCATATATAAAAAACATGCCCATGTTAACGTTCATTTTGAGTGACAATAGTCAAAGCCGCGAACCAACAGTGATGATTAAAAACTATTCACAGATTAGTAAGGTTTAAAAAGAGTTAAGTACTGCTAAAAGATTTCCGCTACTTATAGTATTATTACTATTGAATTATCTAACCTTTATCTTATTACCTTAATGATTACCTTATTTTCACGTTTAAAGGCGCCCTACACTCATCATCATCATCATCCTTATCATTATCATTATTATCAATATTTATATTATTATTTATAAGAAGGAGGAGAATGAGGAGAGCGCTGCGAGGAGTAAGGATGAAGAGGAGGGTAGGGAAGAGAGGAGGAGCAGGCAGGAGGAGGAGAGGAGGCAGAAGCAGCGAGGAGGAGGAGGAGGAGGCGAGGAACAGCGAAGTAAGTTTATGACGGATACCCCACAATCCTCTATGTATGGTACACGTCCTGTGCTGTACATACATGTGGTACATTATATATGCGTGTGCGTACACGCTTGCGTGGGCGTCGGCGTGTGCGTCGTGCGTGCGTGCTGTGCGTGCAGTTGTGCGTGTATGTATGTGTGATGTATGCAGCGTGTTTGTCTGCTGAAAGAGTGATATAGAGAGACAATGGCAAGAGAAGGCGTAGGAGAGCGAGAATTTACCAGATGCTCATACTGTACATACAAGCTAGACCTTTCGAGGCTTAAATAATTATATCCTCTTTTTTCGATATATCTCAAAAACCATAATAAATACTCCGATACTTGTAATCTCATATGCATACACGTGCGCGTACATTTGTGTACACACTATAAATATTAAATATAGTGTATACGTATGCGTGCTGGCACGCGTGGCTGTATGTGTATATATAGTTACTACGTGCTAATGCTATGTATGATGCTCGCAGATATAGTGTATGTACATGTGTTGCATGTCGTGACGTACGTTGCCGTGTATGACGTACTTGCCACATGTGATACATCTATGCTGTTACTTGCCGTACGCTTGCCCATACGTTGCATGCCGTACGTGTGCGGAGCTCAACAGTTCGAGACGCCAGGAATCTTACATATTCTCCACCAGCAGAATAATAACACGAAAAAAACATTGTTTATCAAGAGTTTTCAAATGAAAAGTCCAACCCATTCGTACCATGCTGTTCATAATAACTTTTTGTCATTACACCATATTACTTATTATGTTCAGGTTACTTAAGTTGCGGTTGTGCTGTCATATAAATGTCTACGTAACAGTTTTTTCCATGTTATTAGCTTATTGACTGATTCCTGAATATTCATAATTGTGCTGCCAATTTATTGTCGATTTTTTACCCAATGTTCTCCTATTTGTGCTCCCATTATTAGTAGTATGAATTAGTAGCACGATTTTAGCCCAGCGCCAGCGGCGTACCCGCAGCTAGTATATATAGTAATATATGTGTGTGTCTGTGTTTAGGGCGGCGGCGCGAGCGGAGACGTCGTCCTTCCTGTGATCAAACATCAGCCGCGCCTGACTTTTCACTGCCCGCACGGAAGTCGACTACTTCCTGCGGGTGCGAACCTTCTCACGCCGTAGCTCCTCATATTTCCGTGATGAGGTCGACCTATATGCGCATCAATACGAGCGGCCGTGAGTGAGCTTACAGAGCGAGAGAGAGAGATGGGGGGAGAGGAGGAGGGAGAGGGGAGAAGAGAGCAGCAGGAGAGAGAGAAGAAAGAGAAAGAGAGAGAGAGAGAGAGAGAGAGAGAGAGAGAGAGAGAGAGAGAGACAGAGACAGAGACAGAAGGTAAAGTATTTGTGTATTCAGGTTTCTGGAAAATGGATATCCTAAGTACTGGATATTTCTTGAGAAAATATTTTGCGTTAGGTGTTCGAACCATGAGTAAGAAGTTTGTTATTTTTATCATTAATTTACGTGTAACTATTTTTTATTGTTAAGAGCGTGGCTCGTTAATATGGTAGCGGGTGGGTAGTGGATTGGTGAATCGTATTAACTAGTCATAATTTGTTGATTGCGTTCAGGGGCATGAGCCAAATTTATGCAAAACGTTTGTATTTGGTGTAACTATAATGTTAGCTTTCTTTGACGAACGAGGATTTGCTCTCTTTGATATTCCTCGCATTTATGTTATCAGGAGCGTATAATGACAAATTTGTCATTATACGCTCCTGATGTTATCTGATAAGCGTTATGCGATGGTATTAATTATATAATTGAAGATTCGATTGATTGATGATATTAATGATATAATTGATGATATTAATTAAACAGATAAGCATTATCGTAGTACCGGTGATATGTTGGTGCTTCTAGTCATCGCGTAAATGTATATTATGTAAAGTATATTATTGTATGTTCACATTTCTTCTTGTTGAACGTAGCCAGTAAGCGCCATCTATCTTGTAAACTTTTCGGTGAGACAAGTGACTCTTCCGCAAAAACTTCATAAATATAAATTCATGTATAAAAATGATTGTTTACACATGATTTTAGTTGGTAACTTGAAGAATGGGTAGTTAGATCCCAATGTGGAAATTTTGGCTGCCTGCTAGTGCCCGAAAGAACGGGTTTTGTTCGAGCATAGCCAGTCGCGGTCGCATGTGATCGTGTGAAAACGATGATAAAATGATGGATTGTATTAAACGTTTGCGCGCGTGTCATTACACACCCTCTTGTTGGTGTGAGTGCAGCGGGGAATTGCCACTGCCCACGGTTATAAACGCGAGCAATTGCCAAATGGAATCTAGCCGTTAACTCCCTTGCGAGAGAGATCTCCTGCTCTCGTGTTTAGTTATCATGTATTGCGGACGCGCCTCTGTGTCCTGGCTGTAAGCCGCTGTATACACACACTGCGCACCGCACACGTGCGCACAGTGTGTCCTGGCTGTACATACACGGACACGCACACACGCGCACACGTACACGCGCGTAATCAGACACGCACACTCACACGCGCACACACGCACACACGCGCACACGCGCGCAATCATACACGCGCACGCACACGTACACGCGCACGCACACATACACGCACGCGCACACGTATACGCGCGTAACCAGACACGCACACGCACACGTACACGCACGCGCACACGGACACGCACAGTACTGCAGGTCTATCTGCTGCTGCTGCGACCAGTTTCTCACAGAATCCCGCCCACAGGTGATTGAGGGGGCTTTGATGCGGGCAACTCGCGGCACATGTTGATATTATTATATATGTTTGGCAGCATCTTGGCCGTGCAGGCACGTATTATAGTACATATTTGCCATTATTAATCCCTGAGATTATATATATATATTATCCATAAGTGTTAAAAAGCCCGATCATTTTGCGTTTTGGGGATACATTTTTGGTTAGACCAGTTGGAGCATTTGGTGTCTTTACATCTATAGCAGAATGTGCTATAGCCCTGCGGCAGCTATCCGCGGGCTATAGTACTAGAGCTAATATAGTACTAGAGCTAGCCGAATTCTAGCTATTTGCGCAAACTTACGTCGCTGATGGCTGGTGATGAAATCTCTTTCTCCTCTACATAGTCAGTGACTTTCTCTAGATCAGCAACTCCAACATTGTCGTGCTTCTTTTCCTTCTTTAACGCTGTTTTTTGTAAACTATCGCTTTCGCCATCGGCAATCTCCTGATCTTCTACTGCGTCCGACATTTTCAGATTCTCGACTCGGGCGAGATTTTGCGAGCAATGACGTCATCATATGGATCTGGTCGACCATTTATCTGCTGTAATATTTTGTTTACAAAACTATTTACAGTTGAGAGGCGTCTCTCGGGGAAATTGTATCAATTTTTACAAAATGTCATATCTTTAATTTGTGAAGATTACGTAGTCTGAAAATCATGGACGATTACTTGCGGGAAACGAAGACGTTATTGGTAAGTTATAGCCTAGGCCTACTTCAGTCTTCAGTACTTGTGTTGTTTACGACGTACAGTACGTAACTTGGCACGTTAGGCCTAACGTTAGGCCTACCGTTTTGTCGTTCTCCGAGCCCTTCACACTCACTCTATGTTCCTGGCTAAATTGGGGAACTGCATGTTTACTGTATGAATGCAATGCCAGTGTGTAAGTGTAATACTAATAGTGAACTGTGTTAGCAGTTTTGTCCATAAAAACAGAGTAAGACTAAGAGTAAGACTCAAGAGCTGATTTTAGCAATAAACGATAAAACTTGACAGTGCAGGTTCGTGAATCAGAATCATGATATATGCGATTTACCACCATTGATCACAGAACTTGGCATAATAACTAATAGGCCCCGATAATTACGAATAATTAATAGTACCGAGTCAGACGCGATATTAATTAATACTAGTATTAAAACGTCAGTCAGAAGCTCGACATTTGCGCGGTGTTCACACGCGTACACTTTGTTTTAGGAGTCGTCTTTCAACGACTGTGAGAATGTGTGCATCGTCATGGGCAACGAAGCCTGCGACCTTGACTCGGCCGTGTCATCGCTCGCATACGCATACTTCCTGCACACGGTAACACCGGCGATTGATCGCCATCACATGAAGATTGGCATTCCCTCTTGCTTGATGAAGCCTGTTTGTTGCACTCGTTCGTTCATCTGAGCATGATCATTGCTTCCGACACGTGCCATCTTCTAAGGATCCCTTTAAGTTTAGCTTAGAACTATGTTTCTGTCATTCCGTATTGGAATTTTCTCCGTTTGTCTTTAGTAAATTGCAAATTTGAAGCTTTTTCTACTGTGATCCAGAGTGTTGATCTGTCTATTTGATCAGCTTTGTCTCAAGATTTCCATTTTCAAAATAGTTCCTTGGACTTTGAAGACTATATTATTTACGAGGTTACGAGG